TCTGCAGAAAAGACAGATTCTAGCAGAAATTAGAGGAAAGAAGCAAGAAGACGAGCATACAGCGGACGAGGGCCGGAAGGAGGGGTACCTGAGACCCCGGGAGACTCCACGGGAGGAGGCTGCGGAGGAGAACTGGAGGCTGAGACCACCGGAGCAGCCCGGAGACCAGGGCAAGGGTAGGTGGATTTGCTGTTTCCCCTCCGCATTTGGGACTGCTGGTGGCTCCCCATCGGGTGGAGAGACCTGCGACACAGCCCAGAGACGCCGTGCCGCCAGTGGTGAGCTTGTAGCAGACGTGGCACGAGGTTCCCAACTTCCTCCGGGCACCTCCGTGTGCACAGACCTAAGCCGCGCGGCAGGAGCCATATTGACTCCTCCTCCCCTCCACCGACCCTATCCTGCGGCTGCCCAGAGAGACAATACAGCAACCAGCCAGAGGTACCTCCAGGGAACGGGACCTTCCCTTTTGAGACCCTACAGCTGACTCAGGGGAACTCAGACTGTGAGCTCCTACCCGCCGCCCTCCCAGGTGCTGCTGCACGTGTTCCAGAGAACGGTGCAGCTCAGAGGCTGAGAGACATAGACCTAGCTTGGGCTCCCTGTGGTGAATTGGACCAAATCCTCTCCCTGGGTGGATACAGTTGAACTCTGGACCCAGAGTCGGACCTCCAGACCAGATTCCCTGCATGGAGAGCTAGCATTGCCCGGGGCACAGAAGGGTTATACGTGACAAGCCTACTGAGGTGTGTGTGCTACAGGGGGGGATCGGCGTCCTAGAGGGCAACCTCCTCTCAGGAAGAGGCCGTGCGGCAACCAGGTGGCATTCCTGTGCAGGGAACCTCCCAGCCAGCATCACAGTTGGGGAGGCCTGGTGGCTTGTGGTCTGGCCTACTGGCAGAGGCCCGGAGTAGCTGTGGAGTTGGGGGGTGGAAAAGCGAGGCCGCTCCAGACTGCGGGTCTCAGACAGCACACTCACACCCAGACTTTCTGCTGAGCGGGATCATTCCAGCCCCGCCCTGACAGCTTTCCCTGGAAGCAGAGAATGGAACTTTGACCCTGCTAATGCCTGAGGCAAGCTTACCCAACCCAGCTCCGCCCAGAACAAGAGCTGATAACAGACACAAATCAACAGCATAGCCTGTTCCTCCAAGCAAACGCCACCTACTGACAGGACGGCCTTGCACAGCCTTTCCACGGCACACTGACTCAATATACAGGGAGTGGTCCAATTTCACCCATAGACACCACCTAACGCCTCAGAAAATAACAAGGTGTGTGAATACCAAACAATAACTTAAGGAAAGAACAACAACTGATTGACATGGGAAGAAATCAGCGAAAGAACTCAGGAAATATGAAGAACCAAACGGAAAACACACCCCCAAAGAGGAGCACCAGCCCTAGAAACGACACAACCAAAATCAGGAACCAATACTGAAAGAAGGAATTTCGTATGTGGATCATAAGAACACTCACCCAGTGCAAAACAACTCAATAACCACACAAAGAAACACAAAAAGCCTCCAGGTATGGGAAAAGAAATAGACACGATGAAGAAAGTGTAACCGAACTCCTGGAAATGAAGAATCAATTCAAGGAACTACAAAATACAGTGGAAAGTCTCAAGAACAGGGTAGATCAAACAGAAGAAAATCTCAGAGCTTGAAGATAACACCCTCCAATTAATAAATCAGTCACAGAATAGAGCAGAGAAACAAGAGAAAAGAGCAAAGCCTACAAGAGCTGTGGGATTATGTGAAGAACCTAATGTGAGGGTTATAGGCTTACCAGAAGGAAAGAAGACAACACTCAAGGGTTGGACAACGTTTGAAGTATAATAGAGGAAAATTTCCCAGGCTTGCTCAAAATCTTGATATACAGTTCAAGAAGCTCAGAGGACCCTGGGAGATTCAATGACAGGAAGACATAACGACATGCAGTCATCAGACTAACCAAAGTATCAACTAAAGAGGCCTTTAAGAGCTATAAGACAAAAGAAGCAAGTAACATACAAGGGAAAGCCAATTCGAATAACATCAGACTTCTCTAATGAGATTTACAACTCAGACTTTTGGGGGGAGGGGGGGAAATGGGCATTTATTGAAACCTTAAAATCTGTACCCCCATAATATGCCGAAATTAAAAAAAAAAAAGCCAGAACCTGTTCCCCCTTTGAAGATGTCACTCACCGGTAGGCAAACCTCCCTATGATCATTTGGTAAAACACGGTGAATCGACACAGTCCTGATATTTGAAAGATTTCTGCTCACCAGCAGCAAACTGAGGCCAATGTGATAACATTTGAACATTGGATAATGTTGCTTTCAGTAGGGAATAAAGAGATTGTACAAAAACTCATTTTAATTGGTTTCTCAGTCTCTTTGGTCCCTCATTTCTGCCCCATTACTTATTATGACCACAATTAGGACTTGCTTAGAGGGTTAATCCTTGATTTTGAAAGCACCTAATTTAACTTGACATATAAAACTGATCAATATAGTGTTGTTTGCAATTAAAAAAGAAAAGGAAATAACCCTGGTAAGGATTGGTTACATGAATTGTATATATCCGTGCAAAGGAATATTAATGTAAGTATCTATAAAGTTGAAAACATAGAACTATATATACTCATATGAAAAGCTGTGCAAGACATGTTAAGTAAAAGAAGAAGGTAAAAAACAGTATGCAAAATATGTATTCATCTAAGTAAAAAGAATGTGTGTGCGTGTGGGTGTGCGTTTGAATATAGACAGAAGATTTCTAAAAGGGCCTGTGTAAGAAATCTTACAGTGGTCATCTCTGGGAAGAATATGGGATGGTGATGGGGGAAGTTTTAACTGTACCTTTCCTAATATTTAACCTTAAAAAAAATACAAGCAAAAACTCTAAAAAAAAAAAAAAAAAAAAGCCACATAAGCAAG